TAGATCTCGAAACTCCACGTTCTTGCCAAGGGTACATCAGGTTAAAAATGTTACCCAGGGCCAGGTGTGGTGGCTCATGCCTGCAATCCTAGTGCTTTGGAAGGCTGAGGCAGGAGGATTGCTTGAGGCCAGGGTTCAAAACCAGCCTGGGTAACACAGAGAAACCCTGTCTCTACAAAAAAATAACAAACTTAGCCAGGCATGGTGGCACACACCTGTAGTCCCAACTACTCAGGATGCTGCGGTGGGAGGATCGCTTGAGCCCAGGAGGTTGGGGCTGCAGTGAGCCAAGATAGGGCCACTGTGCTCCAGCCTGGGTGACGGCAAGACCCTATCTAAAACAAAGCTTGGCGGCAAGCTCATGTGGATGGCATCTATCTCAGTCCCCTCAACCTGCAACCCCAACTACTAGTGAGGCTGCCGTCTTCATGTTTACTCATCATTCAGGTTTGTTCTCCTGTAAGTTACTCAGATATTCTGCCTATTTTCCCATTAGGTTAATTTTTGGTTTGGATTTGCAGACGTTCTTAATAAATTATGAATATTAATCCTTTGCTCTAAACAAACTAACAATAAATAAATAATTATGGGAAATGTTTTCCTCTGGCCTGTGACTTATTTAAAAAAAAAAAAATACCTTTCAGCCAGGTGCATTGGCTGATGCCTGTAATCCCAGCCCTTTGGGAGGCCGAGGCAGGCAGATCACAAGGTCAGGAGTTTGAGACCAGCCTGACCAACATGGGAAAACCCTGTCTCTACTAAAAGTACAAAAATGAGCTGGGCGTGGTGGCACGTGCCTGTAGTCCCAGCTACTCAGAAGGCTGAGGCAGGAGAATCACTCGAACTCGGGAGGCGGAGGTTGCAGTGAGCCAAGATCGCACCACCGCCACTGCACTCCAGCCTGGGCGACGGAGCGAGACTCCATCTAAAAAAAAAGCCTTTCAATGAGTTGAATAGTTTTCCCCACAGTGAGGTTAGTATGAAAAAGAAAGTTACAAAGTTGAACGTGTAGTATGTGTCCGTATTTTGTCTTTTGAATTCTGCTACATTTTAAGGAATTCTGCCCTAAGGTTATAAAGAGATTTTCTATTTCCTTCTCCTAGTTTAAAGCCAAGCTCATTTTATTTTCTTCCATTTGGAGAGCTAATTCCCACTCCTGGTGAGCTGATCCCCAGCTTCTCTGCAGTGTCTGAGCTGTGGGCCCCACTCCCCAGCTCCATCTCAGCCTATGGTGCCACTATCCACTGTGACATCATCAGTCCCGGTAGCTGCTGGAGCTCCTCATCACACATTAATATTGGCTATTCTTGGCCTTTTGGCCCCAAATACATTTCAGGATCAGTTTGTTCAGTTTCATGAAAAACCCTGCCATATTTTTTTATTGGAACAGCTATGAGTTTATAAATTTGAGGAGAAATTATATCTTTATGAATAGGTCTTTTTATGAACTCTGTAAACACAAATTCACTCCATTTGTGACTTTATACTCAAAAGTCACAGCTCTCTTTTGAGAAGTTTATTTCTGAAGCTTTTTTTCAAATTACATTTGCTAACTGTGCTGTAGTTCCGTTACACATTTAACATGTTTAATTGTAAATTTCTTACATTTTCTAATGCGCTGTGGGTCTATCACACATTTAACAGGTTTAATTATCAATTTCCTCTCCAAGTCCAAGTCCTTGAGTCCAACTCCTTCCCAAACATGCAACCCTCCTATCTTCTTACTATGTAGAGTTTTGGCCTGGCCTTCAAAACCACAAACTCAAACACCTCCTTTTCTAACAGGCATAGTTGACTAAATTTATCAACTTCTAGAACCATCTGTCTCCCTGCTGTCTCCATGCCCAGCTCTGCCTCTGCTGGGCCCCTGTGCTGGCCCTGTGGAAATGGCGGGGTGGGCGGTGCTCTGGGGTCTTCTCACATCAGAAATGCTGGCATGTCACCCCCAACTCTTCCATGGCACTTTTGCTGGACACATATGACTTGTCTCTCATGGGTGTGGGATACCTATCCAGTATCTTCCACCACCTGAGGTTGCTGAGATGTGTCCTGTCAGCCCATTTATATGCTGTTCCTTCTTAGACCACCTGTCTTTTCTGCCAAGTGTTCAGACGTTCCCTTCATGCTCTGCTGCAGTACATGACATACCTGGGTGGGCTTATTTCCCTTTATCCTGTGGGGGTTGGAGACGGGCTCCTGCCTTGAGTTCTGAAAACATACCAGGTCTCCTCTCCGGTCCAGCACCTGGGCTCCGAGTCTATACTGACCCTCCCCATCCACTCTTCTCCTCCCCGGTCCAGCACCTGGGCTCCGAGTCTGTATATACTGACCCT